TTGTCTGAGCACTGGCAGTTCAGGTCCTGACTGCTCCACTTACAATCCAGCTTGACTAGGAAACAGAGGATGGGTCCAAAGGCTTGGGCACATGTACCCACGTTGGAGATCCAGAAGAGATCCAGAGAAAGCTTCAGACTCCTGACTTGGGTCAGGCCCCACTCGGCCTTTGCAGCCATTTGGGGAGTGAACCAGCAATCCAAATATCAATCACTTGATATTTCTCTCTCTCCCCCTTCTTCCCTCCCTCCCTCCCTCTCCAAAAAAGAAAAAGAAAGTAGCATGGAGCACGCATGGCAGAACATGGAACACAGAACAGTGATGCGATCTGTCTGTCTCTTTTGGAACCTGCCTTTCCTGCCTTACCCTATGATCACAAGTACATGCTATCTTTAGATGTATGTAATAGGATTGCCTGGATATTTACAACCAGCACAAAAAACATCATACCACTTTCACTTTAACATTTTCATTGGGTTTCACATGCCTAAAAAAATCCAGACAAGACTAACTTTCTTTTCAAAGCACTAATAAAGAAGCATGACAGGGCTGGCACTGTGTCCCAGCTGACTAAACTTCTGCCTGTGATGCTGGCATCCTTTAATGAGGCACGAGCTGAACTCCTGGGCAGCAGTCCTGGGGAGCTATTCTGCTTCTAATCCAGCTTCCTTCTAATGCACCTGGGAAAGCAGCTGACTTTATGATCCAAGTTTTTGGTCTTTCCACCAACCATGTGCGAGACCCAGATGGAATTACAGGCTCCTGACTTTAAGTCACTGCAACCATTTTAGACTGAACCAGCAGATGAAAGATATCTCTTTCTCTCTGGCTATCTGTCTACTTTTGACATAAGTAAAATAAATATTTATAAAAAAAATAAAAGAGTTATGACACTGGAAACATAAAAAGTTACTATCATCTATGGCACCAACTGTATCAGTCTCACACCCATCCTGGAGACCCTATGTCCTGGTATTACAATGATTACAATGTCAAAGGTGCTAAATCCCTCTCCTGAAACATGTGGCTTAATTTTATGTTCTTGGTTAAGATATATATGTCTGTTAGCTGTTCAAAAGATATGTAAAGGAAAAAATAATACAACATAAAATTGACAAATTTGCCTATCTCTGACCTCAACCAAAGCCATGACCTTGTTATGAATGATGAGAAAGGCATCATTTTACAAAACAGATGCATTTCCTATTTTTAAAAGAAACTATTAAGATAAAAATGCACTGAAACAAGCTCTTAGAAACAAAGCTATATGCTTTGTAATATTAAATGATACAATGATAACAGAGTCATACAAGGTAATACATAGCAGCTTTTTGGAGTACTGGAATTTTCAAATGCTTTCTATTATGAATTTGAGTTTTCCATCTGGAAATCTTAAACACAGAAACTAGTAAATAATGGGGTTAATTGTTTTACAATTTCAGCTTGATTTACTAATGCTTCCACATGATTCTGTTTTACACACACACAAACACACACACACAAGCTAGATTTATTGTTGGTATAAATCCAGGAAACAAAACTATAGGGTCATAAGATGACAAATTTCATATAATTTATTTTCACTAAATTTGATGATAAATGGGTACTAGAGATAATGAACTATTTCTGGAAAACATGAAATAGGCTGAGGATATCCTACATACTGCAGAAAAGCAACTCAGATTGACTTGCGTGCTCATCTAAAATGAATGGATTTGATTTGCTTTGAGGAAAAACATAAACTTATTTTCCATCCAAAGATTAACCACTCATTTATGTCATTATCTAGACTATTAATTTTTCTTTATTAATTACAGCTTACGATTAGTATATCACACATAAATATCTGGTTTCACTCCAAAAAAGCCTGAGTATTTTAGAAAATCCATGGTTGGTTTCATGGGGCATAGTATACCATGTTTTCCATTTAGCAGTGCTGCTAGTAAAACCACTGCCAATCGTGATGTTAGTGACTACAGAGCATACAGCAGAAACAATCTGCCTGCTGACCTTCTGCTCAAGTTCAAACTATGTCATTCTGTCAATACCATCTACCTTGATTAGGTTGGGCTTTATACACAACAGGTTATGATCCCAGAGGGATGAAAAGCTTTCCCAAATTAAAAGCAGAATTTTAAAAGGAAATACTCATACATTCCTCTGCAGTTTCAATTTGATATCCTCTAGTCTGGCCCATGAACTCAAGCTCATGTTGATTGAAAGTGAATGTTTCGTTCTGGGTGTAGCCATCCTACAAATTTAATGGCAGGAGGAAAATAATAAAATGTGTTCCATGCTTCAATTAGATTTTTTACAACTTGGCACTTCAAAAATGGCATTGCCAAAGAAAAATCATTAATCCATAAAAAGAGACAACAAAGATTGCGCAGAAGTCAGACCTCCAGGAATCTAGGGTCTTGGCAGAGCATATCTTCTCACTAACATGATCTGTCTTTCATCTGGCCTCATTGTGAGTTTTCTCTCATGCTTCAAGACACTGGACAAAACGTACACTGTACTGGCTTCTAACACTAAAGTAATACAACTACCCTTTCAATTTCACCCTTAGCCAAAGGATCCAAATACACAACAAGCAATAAATGGTTGGCTAATTATGAAAATGTCTATTCACGCACATTTATTACAAAAAGAAGAACACCCACACATACACACATTGCAAAGCTGCAAAATGCACAGAATGCATCCTTCAAGTTTGTATTTTACAACAGAATGCAACAGACTTGCTCTAAAGGATCAAGCATATAATAGTCCCAGTCTAGATAACTATGGACCTACAAATGCTGCCTAACTACTTTGATTGATAAGAGACAAATGGTAGGTGATGTCTGGAGTAGTGTAGGTCTCAGAATCCATACTCTTAGGTGATATAAACAGACTCTGTCATCAACAGAACGCATACATTAACTAGCACTCAAGGCAGCAAGAGATTTCCCTCCTCTTGGTTTCCTGCACACCTAATGTCAGCACCAAACCTGAAACAATCCTATAGTCCCAGCCTTGCTGATGACTGATACCAAACCACAATCTCTGTCTCTGCTGCTGCCTCGTGCTATTTAGTGTCAATGAGCCCCCATGATACCTGGAGAAATCCTTTGGTCACAAACTGGCATATTCAGGCTGTCCATGACTTTTGGCCTCCCTCTGAACACCAAATTGTGTACAGAGTAATCTGCTTCTGTATCTTCAACAATTAACTATAGTTCCCATTACGAGCAGGAAACACACTCAAATATTTGCCAAGGACTTCCATCAACCAATCCTCAAATTTTGTTACAGGAGGTCAAGCCTCCTCCTACACTTCTTAGCCTTCCACATGCGGACAACTCTCCCGGAAGCATTCTTGTCATGCTGTCTGTACGTTCACTCTGCAATCAATGGCTCCCCATTTTTCCATCTCCACCTACCCCATCTCTTCTGGCCTTTCTCCCATCTCTTTCCCTAGTACCTGTAATGATGGTGGAGGGGGTGTACCTTCCTCCTTTCCATACATTAACTCTTAAAATTGCAAATTTCAGGAACGATTTCTAAACTCTTATCCTGGTTCTAACAACCATTCTCACTGCCAAGCTCATGCTTTCAGTGATTGTACATCTTAACTTATTTAAGCAGTCTTGCCAACATTTCTATGTCAGAATGATCCAATCTGAAATCATCAATTTACTGCAGGGATTCTCAATGGCTTCCTTCTTTCTCTTAATAATTACACCTTTATTATTACTAAGCTCAAACCTTAGCATTATCTTTACTTTATCCCTCTTCATCCACTCACATACCTCCTGGCAAGTTTATTTACACAATGCTGAATTTTATATTCCACTTACATCAGTCTAGTTCAAAACTTTCACACAGTCTAGCTGGATTTTTAAGATAGCCTTCTAAAGGATAATACACAGTCTTTTGTTACCTTTGAGTTGAGGGGGGGGGTCTCTCCCAAGTTCCAACTCTGAGTATTGGATTGTAACGTACATCTACAGGAGCTTTTGAATAGTTTCCAGGGTCTTTAGGTTTCAAAGTTCTCGGCAAGGTTTGCAAGGCCATTACTGATTTGTGTTCTCTCTTCTACCTCCAAGTTGTAGTACCTAGTTTTATTATCAAGTACCATCTGTTCCCACATTTTTTATTCAATTTTGTGCTTATGAATTCCCCTAGCCTAAGATACCCTCCTTCTCCATCTTTGCCTCTTAAATTTTATCTAATCTTTAAAGATCTAACTCGCTGGAAAACTAACACTGTAGTGAGGTGTTAAAATATGGGCTCATCCATGATCTTTCCCACCTTTGCATCTGTACAAAATTCAGCATCCCAGTTTGGACGCTAAACTTAAGCCTACAACCCTTTGCAAAACTTACCAAGTTCAGCCTCCTGAAAGCATTTCTCCTCTCCAGTTCACCATAAGTCCAGTCATATCTTAGAGTCTCTTACATGCTGCATCATACTTCACATTTTGGTCTAACACTCTGGATACATTCTTTTACTACACGACTGTTTATCCCCTGAGATTAGCCCCCTTTGTATTTTTACTACTTGTATTAAGAGTTATATTAATGACTCTTGAAATGTAACGCCCTCCCAAGTCAGTAGTGTTAGCATCATCATTTTACTTAGGTGTGCTTAAATAGTTTCACAACTAGTTTTCTAAGAAGAGAAGGAGAAAATTCAAGATCAGGTTATATGTAGGGAAAACAAAGAAGGTGAATGAAACAGCACATATATATACCCAAGTCACTAGTAACATTTTGGATCCTAAGCTGGGCTTCAGTCATTCACATTAATTAATTAATTCAATAATTATAGAATCAAGCAAAGATCAATGATGATGATAGTTTCCCACGAATTAATAATTCCTTATCAACATAATAATGAGAGTTCTTAAACTCACAAAATTCTTAAAGAATGTTTCAAAGAAGAATTAAGACACATGATAATGCTGGGCCTAGTGTCATTCTTTCCCCTACTATGATGTTCACTGCTCACTGTACCTGTGTGCGATTGAATGCCACTCTTGCAAAGACAGCTTGGGACACACTGGCCCTCTTCAGCTCATCTCTGACTTGCTGGTAGATATCTGGAGAGACTTCCACAGAAGAGTTGGCTGGCTCTGGCTTAACTGCTCTAGGAATGGGCGGGTGATTCAGGAACTGCTGGTTGATGGCTTGAGGATGCTGGTGAGCCAAGAGCCGACTAACGGCAATCTGTTGGTTTATCAGGTGGGCCATGGCAATTTGTTGCCTAACAAGTTGTGGGCTGAGCTGAGGAGAAAGAAGACCAGGGCTCATGATGGGCTGTAATGCGGGCACTTGGTTTCGGATTGGAGTACTGTGATGGATTTGGCTATGAGGAGACTGTTCGTTGGTTTTCCCCAAGGATGCCAGCTGGTTCATATTTGGTAAATGCATTGGACGCTGGCCCAGAACACAATAGTCTGAAAGGTTTTCTCGTTCCACTCTTTCCACTGTTAAGAGATAAAAATTATAATTCAGTATTATTCAAATTGTTATAATTTATTGCCAATATAGATGACAGTGAATTATCATGTTTTGGCATATTCATGACATAAACTTTTTTCATACAAACCTGGAAGCACCAGAGTAAAAATGAGTTACGGTTTTCTGCAACATGCTACAAACTAGAGGTTTTTATAGAAGAAATGAAGGTAAAACATTTGCCTCTTTGGTTTTCCCAAATTCATAAAAGTAAACATACCACTTAATAAAGGATATGGAAATCACCACAAATCACAAATTCTAAATGCTCTCAATTTCCATCATGTCCCTTGCCACCTTGCCCCAAACAGGCACACAACTACTCTACCCTCTGAAGATAGGGTTGATGTCGTCATTCACGGTTTTCAGGAGATGACAACAACAACCTCTCTTTCCAAATGAATCTCCTAATAAAGGAAAATGTTCAAGGAGAATTTGTAACAAAAAACATAGCTCTCTACTCACTTCTTATCTTTATTGTATGGGAGTGTTTCTTTAAGAAATTAACATTTTAATGATGATGACATGTTCTAAGCTAAACAAAAAAAACTCTAAAATTAATATCACCACCTTGAATTACAATTTAAGATTTTCTTCCTCTCTAGGCTATCCTACTGAATTACACTTAATAAAGATGTAAAAGTTAACCTTTAAAGGGAAAAGAAAAAGAAAGTGAGTATATCATATGTTCAAACACAAAGGAAAGCTTTTGTTCTTTCCCTCAGATCTATTTCTCAAGAAATGGGGAAACACCTCATGGTAGCATCCCTATCCAAGTCTTTATTACTATATTATCTGAAACAAAGTTCAGCCTGGAGAAAGCACATCAAGTTGAAATAACTTCATCATCATCAGTTTGAAAAGTTTCCAGGAATACCTTAACAAGATCTATGTATGAAATAAAAAATTGTACACATAGTAATTGTACCTTCTACTTTCAAATCTTGGGTATGATTATGCAAGAATCTATTAATGGTTACCTTAAAAGTGTTACTTTGGATGGTTACATAATGAATAACAAAAGTATTCACCCACAGAACAAATGTTAATAGAGCTGTCTCCTTATTATGCTAATGGTGCTTGTAATCTGGCATACAATTTATGGTGACAAAACCATATGTATACCAAGGGGGAAAAACTACTTACTCTCAAAAACTTTAGGCAGAAGTCATGTGTGCTTGACAACCCAAAAAAGGGTGTTTTGCGATTTAAAAAAAAAAAAAGCACAAATATCAAACTACTTGTGGAGTACTTATAAATTGTGAGGGAAAACTATTTCTAAATATTTCTAAATAATATTTATGTAACATGTAATTTTTTAAAAATACATTAAGAAGTAAAGTAACACAGCTGACCTATTAAGTAGGTATTTGGGCATTTAATTCTACATGTCAAAAAATTTCATATGAAAGCTCCTTGGAGAAAACCAATGAACATCCCGATCCTAGGATTATGTTGTATGTGGATAAGGATAGCATCATTCCTAATCTTTGCAAAACCAATGTTTGCTTCACTTTCCTAGGAACTGCCAAATAAGACAAAAGTTTACTGCAAATTTCTTCAAGGCTCCGATTTTTAACCTAATCCATCCAATGTAATTCATTTCGGTTCTATGTCAACATTCCTCTACAAGTCTCAAGATAAACAAATTACTATCATCATATCCTTTAAAGGCCAGTATTTTCCCACTACTGTATTAATTAAACTTTAAAGTACACAGTCTTAAAAACAAACCAAGTTAAGTGTTAAGAATCTTCAGATAAGGTAATAAAATACCGTTTCCATTGAGCAGAATTGCACTTTCCTGATAAAAGTGCACGTAAAGAAACAGGGTCTGCCTCTAGAGGATGCTTGCTCTGGGGGAAAACACTTAGTTTCTTTAGTTTGCTTATTGGTTTTAATTTATCCAAAGTAAAGACTAACTTACATATTAAATTATGCTTTGGGGTGCTCAGTAAGTACAAGATTTATCCAATTCTTTTTCTCCTTAAAGCATACATTTGGGTCTGGCAAGATGGCTAAGTGGGTAAATTTTCACCTTGCATACACCAGAATCCAATATGGGTATCAGCTCCACTTCCCACCCAGCTCCCTGCTTGTGGCCTGGGAACACAGTTAAGGATGGCTAAAAGCCTTGGGATCCTACACCTGCATGGAAGACCCACGAGAAGCTCCTGGCTCCTGAATTCAGACTGGCTCAGCTCTGGCCATTGTGGCCATTTGGGGAGTGAACCAGCGTATGGAAGATCTTTTTCTCCGAATCTCCTTCTCTCTGCAAATCTGCCTTTTCTATGAAAATAAATAAATCTTTTTTTAAAAAAAGCAATCTACTTATTCTCTAACAGCCTGCATTCTTTGAACAAACATTCATTTTCCAAAATTTTAGTATTTTCACTTTAAAGACTCAGTTCAGTTCATTTTCCTGAGATTTATCTGAACTCCATCATCACTGCAAAGTGATTTCAAAGATAGGCTTAGTCATACATGTGACTGAGTGCAAATGTCAGAGCCTGACAAACCTGAGTTGGTATAATGAGAATTGAAATAACATCAGTCTACAGTCCTTCAGGGTCATACATAACAATTATTCCCATTCTTGCGAAGTCCAAATCCTCAAAGTTCATATAGTTCATATAGTGGTTATAGTTACCTGCTTGGAGACATGTGGTAACACAAAGTGCTACCTACATAGCAAACCATGAAGGAATTTTAAGTGTCAGTGACTAAATGCAAAGGTAGGTAACAGAGATTTCACCTACATGGGTACAAGAGCAAGAGAGCCTGCTCTGCTCAACAGGAGCAAGCCCCACCCTGCTCAGCTGGCTTTCGTTTCCCCTATGCTGATATTTCTGTAAGACATTTTATCAGAAAAAAAATTTAATCTGGATTTTTACACAATATCTCTTAATTTTTAAGCCCTGGCAACTAATTCCAATTTCAACATACAATAAAAGCAAAAAAAAATTTTTTTCTTACAAATAGATTCTGCTCATGGGCTACCAGTGCTCAGTCCATGGCTGCTCTACAGATAAAAGCCAAGTTCTTCATACCTGAACATGGGCGGAGGGGTGGGGAGATGGAGGTGCTGGTGGTACAAAAAGTCAGCATCGGCCTGTGAGGCTTAGGAATCAAACCCTCACCAACAGGCAGTGTCCCTGCTAACCGAGGCAACGTATGGTTTCAGTGATATTTGGCACAGATTCTGTCTCATTTGAAAATCTTCTGCATGTATTTCTGGATGTCAGTATTATAAAAATAATATCAGAACAATATTTTTAGCTTCTTATGTCACAGCAGGTAAAGTACAAACACTTATTAAAAAAAAAAAAAAAAGGAAGGCACATCAGAATGTGTCAGACTCCATCTGAAAAACAGCCTGGGCATTTGTTATTTCTTTGTCTCTTTCTTCCCTTCCTGTTTCCCTACTTTCCTTTCTCTTTCTTTTTAAATAATTTGTAAGTAATCACCATGGCTTGAAAAAGACCTAACAACAGTATCCACTTTCACATTTTTACTTCTTCACTCCACAGTGGAGATTTTCATGTTAAGCTTTTCTTAAACCTAAACTAAAACCAAACAAAGACATCATGCTATGAGAGCCTGTGTGCTTGTGACATTCAGCAGATCTGAAATCCTGAAAGAAAAAATGTGACGAATAAAAGGAAGTACTACCTCTGAGATAGAAGCAATGTTCATATCCATAGCAGAATATATTCAAGATGGAGTTAGCATGCTTACATGCTGGGAGACATTAAAAAAAAAAATCTACTCCTTCCAAGGCTTTAAATCAGAGTCATAATTTAACTTACAATTAACTTGACTCTACTTTGGTAAAGTCCTGTCGGTATGTGTGTTGTAGAGGAAAGTGGCTCGGAAGGAGTGATACCCTTGTGCTTGCTTTGGCAGAACATATACTAAAATTGGAAGGAGTGACACCCAACTTTGGATTAGTCCCCAAACAGAGCACAGCTTGAGGAACCTCCTCAAGCAATATATGTCTAGTATCTCTAAAGAAGTTTTGTGGCTACTTAGACCAAAAGTCTACTCAAGTTTCCGAGAAACTCAAGAGTACCAAGAGAATCTTGCAGATTGCTTAAACCATTACAAGACTAGTTAAAAACTGCAGGAAAAGCATCACCACGACCTAACCTCCAATTAAGCCTTTTGGATTCCATTTTTCACAATAGGTAGGGTGTTAGAATCTCAGAGGCTCCTGAAACCTCACCACATTCTTGGGGGTGCCACTGTCACCAAAAGCACCCTAGACCACTAGCTATCAATGTACTTGCTATTTGCATGATACATTTTTTTTCTAGCAATTTATATGCAATATAATCAAGATACCTGGTCCAGAAATATTATTGTACTTCAGATAATTTTGCAGCATAGCCAGGAAACCAATCATTTCTTTTAATTACAAATCCTGAAGATGTGTGTGTATGACAGTGTTTCAAGAATATTCTTAATATCAGTATATTTATACTGAATATTGCTCTATTCTGACATTTAGTCCTTTGCGTTGCAACAAAATTCCAATGCTCAAAATATATTAAATTGACAAAGTATACTTTCTGAGGATTTATGAACAAAAGGAGGAGCATCTGATTGACACAGATGTCTACCACTCACAGCAAGATATCACAGGATAGGCAGAACTGGGTAAAGTGAACTGGGAAAACCTAGGTTCTTAATAAATTGGTGATTTGTGACTAGCTGTAAGATGGGAAAGATTACCTGTACATTGGTCTAAAATAATACCCTTGCAAGTTACTTATTTCATAGCATCTTAAAGAATATTACTCAGGATGTTCAACACAATTCTTTCTCAGAATACTTGATGCTTCTACTTATTAATTCATCAGCAAAAATTTAAGATTCTGCAAGATATTTTGCCTAGTGAAGCAACAATCTCTAGAGTGGCAAGCAGTGGTAATTACATAGTCGCTCTTCCAGTCCATCAACATGACTA